TGTGAGAGGAATTGGTGTGTTCTTGACAGGAGGCCCTTGGCTCTAGCAGCTTGCTGACCTTTTGGCCTTGCAGTAGGCTTTGTTTGTTCAGGCTTTTCCCTGGTAAGTAATCTGACTGTTCTGGGTTGTTTCCTTTGGAGTTACTTTTTTGGGGACGTCAATTGAATTTAGTTGCTTTCATGTTTGATTGTTTTACATGAGTGGTGCTTGCAGTGTTAAGATCATCCTGAGATTTGGAATCTGTATCTCTTAAAATTAAAACCAATTTCTGTAAGGGTTACTTTAAAAAAAAATTAACTCGGGGATTTTGGATCATCTTACTCATATATGTTATATTGCACATTCACTGAGAGGACAACAGAATTAATAAAGAACACCTTTACAAGCAGTTTCTAAAATTGAGATCAGAACCCTTTTTAAAGCATGAAAAATCACTTTTTTGCTAAAAAACTTATAATCAGTATGGCCTGCAAAACATTCATGTAGATGGTAAATGAAGCTGGCTGAAAGGAAGTATGGGTAATTGTGTAACTAAACAAACTGTGATAGACTTGTACATTGTACTCACTACTTCCTCTGCTCAATTTCCTGTGTTGATTCAGGGAAAAAGTTGCCTCCTTTTCTAGCAGGGTAATCCAAAATGGGACAGATGGGGGATTAGACCCCTTGCTGCTGGTCCAAAACAGAAACTGGGAGATGCCAAATTCCGTTTGCCTGAAAGACTTCCCCATTAATTTGTATCTCTTGTAATTGGTGAAGCTGGAGAAAATACTTCTGATTTTCTGGGAAGTATCTAAGCAAAAGTTTTTGGATGTTACATTGGAAAGAAGAATAGTGATCTTGATTTGTGTATGCACTCATTTTTATGCAATTTCTGTTTCCTCTGAAAATGTGGCCATTTGTAGAACAACTCATGCAGACGTCTGCTTGATTCTCTGTGGAAGTTCAAATAGTTCAAATTAGTAGCAGTTCCTTAACTATAGCATTAACTCCTTAAAGTGAGAACATAATGTGGTGAACTTTTTCAGTAGCATATTACAGCTTACAGAAGGATAGTGTGCAGTGTAGAGCTTGTTTTTATACTATATATTAGTTCTATTTATAATGTCTAATAGTATATGAACAACACTGGTTTGATCTGAATTACATAAAGAAATTTTATTCCTTCCTTTATTTGTGGCTTGCTAACTTTTTTGATACTCTGCACACTTGATTTCTGTGAATATTTCTGTTTTCTGCAATATTAAGTGCAAGCTTAAGTTTTATATTTTGGACTGATAACATGCTGTTCTTGTATCACTAGAGTGAAACACTTTGATTCCCCGCCCCCCCCCGCAATATGGCAAGATTTAGATTGTCATAAAGTTCATATAGTTACAATACAGAGCCCCCACTTTTAGTCCACACACTAAGAGCAGCCGGGGAACTGTAGCATTGGGGAAGGGAGGAGAGAGCATGGGAACATTCTCTGCTTCATTTTTTCAGGAAAAGATGCAAAAGGAAGAATGTTTATTTTGTACGTAGCATGTTGGAGATCTCATTATTGAAAGTGCAAGACATGTAACATTACCCAATGGCTAGTGTTGAGAAGTGTTGAGAACAGTAGCCTTCCTCTCTCTAAATAAATACCCGTTTAGATTAAAAAATAAGCTGTTGTATTTAAGCTTTGTGTTGATTTTATTACAAGGGAATAAGTACCTGCAGATTTGACTATGAAAATGTCTAGAAATAAAACACAATAATTTATCATGTTTGTTTGTAGCTGTAGAAAATATGAAACCACCGTGTTTTTCTATTCATTGCATTTATGTTCTTTTAGGATGTAGCAGTTTTGTGTATTGGCTAAATATCAGACCTTTTCAGGTGGTCAGTTCAGTGTCTTAGTTTGACCCTGAAAGGCTCAGGTTGTAGTGCATCTTTAGTACGCTTGTCTGATTCAGTGCTGTACAGCTTAAAAACACCTTCTTCTTATCTTTTTCTACTTTTGGCACTAATTAACATTTAGATGTTACGTGATCATTTAAGAAATTCCTCTGCAATGTGAAACTCATGTCTACTTGGGGAAAATAATAACCAATTTACTTATACAATGCATATAAATTAACCAACTCTCTTGTTCCAGCTACATTTATATGCAATCAAGAAAACCAAATTAATCATACTTTCTACTGTAAGGCACCATAGCTTGTAAAGCAAGGAGAAAAATATTTTCAGCTATGCATATGATATCAAGACCTCCTAGAAAATTCTGGTTTTAATGGGTTGATTGCATTTTGATGCATTCAGTGTGAATATTGAGAGAAGTATAAAGTAGTTAGGAAAGAAAGGAATCGGCTTGAAGTACTTTAATAAGGGATGCTGAAATGCATATGGGAATTTCTGCTGTGTTTTATCTGTTTCTTGTGTTTTAAAAAGTGAGAATACAAAGGAATATTTGCTCTATATCTCAGAAGCAGAACCATCTGCAGTAACGACTTCCTGAAAAACTTGTGCATCTGTTGTTTTAGTGGGTGTGAGACTATCCGGTTCTATATATTGTTTTGTCCTGCTATATCTTGCCTGCTTCTTTATCTGTGGGATTTTGTATCAGACATACGTGTTAAAACACATTATGTAAATGAATTGATATCTTGTTTCTTCAGACAGGTGGAAATAAGACATTTTGACTGAAGATAAAATCTTTATTCCCCAATGATTTTGACAATATTAATAGAGGTTTCATGTCTCAAATGTAATAGCTAAAGGAACATTTTGTTGAATTAAAGGGCTCTTCCTGTTATATCCTGATTATTCCTTTAAGTGCTCAGGGAAAAAACCCTATTATGAATTACTGTTTGATATTAGCCTTTTATGTTGCAATTGCTACAGTAAGGAAAAGAATGTCCTTATTTGATCAAATCAAGCTATGTGTATGTGTAGGAGAGGGAGAGGGTGGCCAAAAGTGTGACTAGTAGCTAGGACTAGATAAACTGATTGAACAAATTGTATTTCTTGACATTTTACTTTCCTTCTGATAATGTCTTGCCGTTGCTAATCAGTGTCTTTTGCAGTCTCAAGAAATAGAACGTTTCTCTCTCAAAGCAAGGAAGACTGTAGAAAGTTACCAGTTCAGGAGACTAGTATGGGCTTTCCCTCACTAACCTAGCCAGTGGGATAAGAGGTAATTAGGTCAATGCAGTTCTAACTGGTCCAGGAGAAAGGAAGGTGATTGGGATGGGATTAATTAACAAGCTATAAATTCATAATACATTAAAAAGAATTAAAAATATCTTGTCACACACACGTGTATATAAATATATATGTGTGTTTATATAAAATGTGTATATAAAGATATGTAAATGAGGTCTTAAGATAACTGTGACGATTGTGTGGATGTATGACTCAACCTGTAAACGTGATCATGAGATGCCAAGCCCTGTCCAGTTAAGAGCTGTGTTTGGTTAAGGGTAAGGGCATAAAAATCCTCATATCCTTTTCCAGAAGCTCCAGTTCCTCCAGCCTGGTCTGGAAGGTCTCCCGCTGCAAACTGACCATTTCTCACTGCTCAGGCTCTGTTCACCTTCCTGCAAATGCCTTCAAAAAAGCGATCTTGGCTCTCTAGCTGCACCAGAGTTTGCTGGTGGCAGCAGGGGAGTACTAGAAGCTGTATTTTCTCCTTACTTTCATGTCTGGTGAGAGTGTTGTTTAGGCCAGTCTTTCTGGCAATTCTGCCCTGTATAATATCTTGTGTATGATAGGTGCTGTCCATCATCCTGAAATGGGATGTTAGTGTTGTATGTTTCAGCTAATCTCAGTTGGGATAGAGACAGATTTGTCAGCTGTTGTACTGAAAAAATAATAGGGACCTGTATCTGTTCGTTTTAGTGAATTATTGAAATGAATGGGAGTCTTGGATTTCTGAAATAAATTACGGTGCGTGAAAAAAGGTTTCATTGACTGAATTCTTAAATTATTTAAAAAGGATGAGGTAAGAAAATGTGATTAACTCCCCCTGCATTAACCCTCCCTGAAGGCTCTGCGTTAATAGCCTTCCACTGTTCTTAACTGTATAAGGGTTGCACTGGGGATTACCTATAGTCTTAAATTTGACAGTCTAGGATGGGAGAATTAATAAGAAAATATTCATCAGTGTTGTGTTTAGTCAGAGGATGACACCAGCTTGTAACTGCCTTTTAAACTGTCAGTGCAACTCTCCCTTCCTTTTGATCTTGCGCATTGTTGCCAACGTATGCCCAGAGAAGTATACCAGGACACTGCAGGAGTTAAAATCTTAAACCTTCTCATTGTTCCATAACATTTTAAACTTTTTTTTTTTTTCCCCCTTCACAGGAAATGACCTAGAGGCCTTACAAATACATTTGTGCGTTTTTGTTCTGAGTCTACAATTGAGGGCAAATGCAGTCTGGAAGCACCACTTCTTAATGTTACAACGGAAACAACTACCTCAACAAACAAGGAAAGAGGAAGAAGGCTTGCAATAATAAACACTCTAATTTTTAATAGTTTATACTTGCAAAGTCTTCTGTAAACAGAGTCCAGATTTTTTTTTTTTTCCTCCCCCTCCAGTATTAAGAAGATACACTACAAGTAAACTAATTTGGCAGACTGGATCTGTCAAGACATTTGAAGATACTTGATCTGCTGACTTAAGGATTTGCTTTTTCAAGGAAGGAGCCTCTGCACTGCTTTTATAATCACTGTTGATCGGTGGTTTGCTCCACTTTTCCTGATATTACTAATGGGAAAATTGTATTAAGGTATTGCTTCTAAAACTATTATTTGCATTGACAAAAATAACTTTTGTAGACTTAACAGCAAGTGACAATAATATGCTCATGAAGAAATCGTAGGTGACAACTTCTCTGCTCCAGCATTGCTTTTCTGTGTGCAGAGTAGAATACCAAACAAGAGACAGAGCATTATTAAGATACTTGGGCTTGCTTTTTGAGTACAGTTTATAACTGCAGCAGGGCTGCACTGAACACTGAAAATACAGAGTCAGCAAATCTGCTGCCTTTCTCACTGCTGATACAGATTATACAGACGCTTGCCTTTTTGAAATGCCTTTTGTGAAACTGATGTACACAGTCCTCCACTGTTACTGTACATAACTGTATATTTGAGGAAGGAATTTGACAAGTGATTGTTAATTCAAGAAATCTTTGGACAAGCACTCACTTATGTATTGCTGTAGTGCACAAGAAAGCAAAATGGACTATAAGCGGCGCTTTTTGCTTGGCGGGTCCAAGCAAAAAGTGCAGCAACACCAGCAGTATCAAATGCCTGAGCTAGGCAGGACCCTGAGCGCACCGCTGGCATCTACAACCCCAGCATCCCCTTTGGTCTCCTCAGCTGCTGCGGGCGGCTGCAACCACCCTGTGTCCCATACTACTCCGATCGCAGACATCCAGCAGGGAATCTCCAAATACCTGGATGCACTCAACGTGTTTTGCCGTACAAGCACTTTCCTTACAGACCTTTTCAGCAGTGTATTTAGGAACTCGCACTATTCTAAGGCAGCTATGCAACTGAAAGACGTGCAGGAACATGTCATGGAAGCAGCGAGTCGACTCACAGCAGCAATAAAACCAGAAATAGCAAAAATGCTGATGGAACTGAGTGCAGGAGCTGCAAACTTTAAAGATCAAAAAGAGTTCAGCCTACAAGACATTGAGGTAAGCTACCTTGGGGGATACTATTTTCCACGTGAATTTGTATCATTCATTCTTAATTGGGCTTCTCTTCAGAATCTCTTAAAAAAACCTTCAGAAGTTCTCTGTGCTGTGCTTTTTATTTGTGGGCAATGCTGCTAAAAAGAGCAACTCTTCTATTCTTATGTTTTCTTCTTGAAAGTATTAAGTCATTTGCAGTGCCTGACTTCCTGCTATGTTGAATTAGGTGCTTAGTGGGTATTTCTGTATAACTTGCACTCTATTTAAAGATTTCATGAAATAAGAAAGATGAGTTCTAGTTAAATTGTGCTACTTATGTAATTCTAAATGGTAATCTTCTGTGTGATTTAAACTTGTAACCAGCAATCCAACAACCTCTTTCTTCTTTGGGGAAACCATGCTTAGTTTAAAAATAATAATGCAAACCAAAAAAACCCAACACCCTTCTCCTCTAAACCAACTAGATAAGTTTTAAACAATTTTCTGGTTTATATTAGGTAATATTTCTAATGATATTGAGCCACTGTATTCTAAATTAACCTATACTTTCCCTAGTATTGTCCGTTTGGGGGGAAAGCTGAACACTTGTGAGTGGTGTATTGTCATCAGTGTTTGTGTAAAGCTGCGTATTAGTTGACTAAGGATCAAAACTTGTGTAAAATAATGTTTGATCACTCTTCAAAACAGACTTGTCTTTTTGAGCTGTTGTGCTTAAAAAGAAAATACCGTGCGCTAGCACGAGAGATTTGTGCTGGAAAAATTTGTCATGACTTCGCTATAATTTCTGTGCACTGGCAGTGAGTGCCCAGCAGTCAGAATTTGGAGGTTTTGATGTTAAGAGAGGATCTCCAACTCTTATCATGGGTATTTCTGGGTATTTCTCTTGTATTAAATGTCTTCATTATGTAACAGGCAGTGTTAGGCGATAGTCACGTAGGAATCCCTGGTGTTCTCAGCAGTTCCTTGTGTTTTGACATTCTTTCCAGCAGTCTTTGCAAAGTTATTCCTGTGGAAGTCCATACTGAGTGGAAAACTTATTTTTGAGTTCTCTTATTTTTTATGTTTCAGGTAACTTTATAAGGATGAGTAGTATACAGAATGCTTATCAACCATTATCTGCTTTCTGTAACTGCACAGCTTACGGATGAAGTAGTTAAGTAGAATCCTATTCATAGTATGTAATTGTAGTGAGAAATATAACTGACAGCTTTCAGTCTTGTATACTCAGTATAAAATGAACTAAGATTGGCTACATATTTGTTATAAATGTCTTCTGTAGGCTGCTATTTTTGAAAACAATTGAATAACACCACTAGGTTTAGCTAAGGCTGTAGGAAAAAAATATATTTAAAAAAACCAAACAAACCCTTAAAAATAACTACATAATTAGTTTATGTAATTAAAGACATTGATGATATCTGTGCTGAAAGACATTTTTTAATGAAAAAAGGAAAAAAAAAAAAAGCAAAACCATTTGAAGCACTGCCTGTGTTCTTTGGGTTTTTTGTGGACTTTGAAACTGTGTCTTGCAAAATGTTGGCAGCTATCTGTATACTGCTTTTATAAACCTAGTCAAGCAATTCTAGGTGCTAATTCATACCCTGTCCCACACTGTCTGGGGAGAGTGCCGCTTCAGCAGCGAGTGGAGTTCACAAGCAAAAGCAAAGCATTGTTTGCATAAGTTGTCTGCATGTCCTGCCAGCTCAAAGCAAAGGTAGAGGAACTTGCTTTGGTCCCTGCTTTACCTGTATAGACCTAGCCCTTGTTCTGAGCTCCACGTGCACCCGCAGTGCTCTCTTCACCAGGCAGCTCTATGGTAGCAACAAATGTAAAGAGAAGGTGAGCAAAACAGCTGGATTCCTTGGTTTTCTGTGGAAATGGACCACTTGTCACCATACTTTTCTTGCATATTTTCTTAATTAAAACTGCATCTTGCACATAGCTTTAAAAAAAAGTCAAGATTTATGGGAACGTTTGCATAATGAGACAAGTATTACATTCTGCTTTTGCTTAAGAACCAGCAAAATGTAAGAATTTGACACTGACTCGTGATTGTTTTATAAGTCAGCCAGGGAGCATCGTTTAGATGACTTAAGTATATGGGCAGACTAGTTGGATGATTGTGCCCAGGAAGCAGTTGTCAGTCGCTCACTGTTGAAATGGACTTTGGCAGAGGTCAGCATAGAGAATACATTTAAGTTTGTAGGTCACTTGAAAGTACATGATATAAGTATGCTGGAAGACCTGCTGAATTAAAAAGAATCTTGAACTGAACAAATGACTTTTCCAGTTGGGATGGAATTCAGAGGGGAAAACTAAACATTACAATATGGTATGACTCAGTACATTAAAATACTGTACTAGTTACAGTTGGACTGGATGATCTTAAAGGTCTTCTACAACCAAAACAATTCTATGAGTCTAATATTTAAATAGGAATTTTCAGCCTCATAAGTGGAGCCCACTGGGCAGCAGTTCTGAAGAACAGTTCTAGGGCTTATGTTAGTCATATGTTGAGTAAGAGTTAGTGTTGTGCAGTTGCAAATAATAAATCAATGTTGTTGCTATTGTGCAAAGAGGCAGTTGTCATGTATTTAACATAACAACAACCTGAAGAACCATTAAATAAGCATTCAACTCTCTTCAGTTTGGTTATGATCTTTAACATGCAGTGCATGCATGAACCACTGCTGTTGCACTTAAAGAAATGGTGAGCAACTGGAGAGACACCAGAGTAGCAAAGGTAATCAGACATCCAGGAAATAGGACTTCAGAGGACAGATTGAAAAGACAGACTCTACAGAAGAGAAGACTAAGAAGGAAAATCAGAATTGTTCAGGTATGTAAGAAGCAGCCAGAAGACGTGTTAGTGTTTTGTTCTTCATATCCACCTAAGGTGGAGCAAGAAGTAATGAACTCTAAATTTCAAAAGGAAAGATTCATTTTAGATGTTATGAAAATACTTTGTAATGTTAGTGAAGCACTGACGTGGATTGCTACAAAGGGTAGGGAGCCTCCATCATGAAGAACTTACAGAGCAGGTTAAACCTGCATCTAGCAAAACTGGCCCAGGTGAAATTGCTCCTCGCTTGGGACGGTAGTGTGACCTTTTGAGAGCCTCTTGTACTCTGCTTTCCTGTGATTTGAAGACCGAGCTATTTATGCTGAAATTTTAATTAAAAAAAAAAAAAAAAGTATGGTTGGTTTGGGTTTTTTTCCCCTGATCTTTAGAAAAGTTAACATTTCATAAAAATACCAGCAGGATTGAAAAACTCACAAAGGAAGCAGAAAAATATAAAGGGCTTGCGTGACTTAATCAGAGTTCACTGACCAGGGGAAACGAGAGAAAAAGAGTGTGAGAGGCAGTGTAATTTCTTCCTTGGAAAATACAGGGGAGGAAATGCAGTAATATCTGAAGTTGCTTTCACAGATTCTCTAGTAGATGACTGAAAGAACTTCCAACTCTGCCTGAGAAAGAATTGAGAGATGGTCAAATGTCTGAGTGACAGCTCAGCAATATTCTATGAAGAGGTACTCGAGAGCCTCTGATCTGAGGGATGGATTCTGGCAGATTACAGAAGCAGCGGGAGGTGGGTTGTAATTCATGGTGGTGTGGGAGGACAGAACCTCAAATTCCTGAGAAGGACATGAGAATGAGGCTTTTTCTATGCATGAACCCAGCTAAGGAAAAGGTACTTTTCCTAAGCCTTCCTCAGCAAAGGCTGTATGTTTTGAGGAAGAATGAGAAATACAAGCAGAGCAGGTTTGGCTTTAGAAGTTTAGGAGAGAGCTGTAGCTTTTGTGAGGTGCCACACATCTTTAGTGTAGTGGGCTCTAGCCCAGAGAGAAGAGAGTATCAGGAAAATGTCATGATCTGATGAACATACACTGACTTGGATTTGGACTAAAAAAGGTTGGTCAGTCTGGACTGTAGCAGCCGTGGGTAAGGTTTTTAATTTATTTATTGGTTTTTGGCAGAACAGAGCTTGCTAGTTAATAGCTGTCTGCCAGGATGTGTAAGGTGACTTCTCTTGATCAAAGTGTTGGTGACAGATGGAGTTTCTCTAGGTTCCTTAATTTCAGAAATGCAAATGCTGATTTTTATTTTCCCCCTTTCCTTTTCCCCTTTCAACTTTGAATTCTCAGGTATTTTGTGCCTGTGTGCGTGAGGAACAGCTTGGAAATCAGGGGGAACGAGAGCGTGTTTTATGTTAAGTTTTCCAGATCTGTTACGGTTTTGTAAACTGGAAGAATGCAGTAAAATTGTACTTATGTTAAAAAGCATTAAAGAAACTCCTGTGGGGAGAAAAAAATTTAAAACTGGAAAAAAGTTTGTATATTTCCTCATCTTTTGGGAAGCTTTGCAGCAGCCCAATTACTGCGAAGTACAAAGAATTAATCTTGTTTCAGTTACAAGGAGTTTCTGTGTTGTCTTAAAAGTGATAGTAATGACAGAAATGTACATGTTGCCTTCCTAAACAAAAGTGAAGCATGAATGGACACAGGATATTTATTTGGATGCTCTGTTTTGTATTAAATTGAGATAATTTTTGGCTTTTATTTGTATAAAATAACTGAAGACTTTAACAAGAAGCTTGTAGGACAAAAATGTCTGAGTAAATATAAAATGGAGGCTTTCCTTAGCAAACATTGTAAAGCCCCATTTAAATATTTTTTTTTAAATGATCTTTCCTGTGATTTGTAGGGATTGGCTTCAGACTTTTCTGAATTGAGGAATTGTTAGTAACAAAAAGCTGCTTCAGATCAGCTGGAAATGCTGTGGCTTGCTGGAATGACATTGTACTCTTTTCTTGGTCTATAATCTCATGGTCTGCTCTCAGATCTGCTAGCATTGTCTTTATAAATATTTTTTTATTACATTTTAATTGCTACTTTTTGTTTTTAAAATGCTTAACACTTAAATGCTTTTCTGATAAATTATAATTAGCACTTTAGCAGCTGCCAATATCAGATTATCACTACTGGGGTTTTAGGTTGACTGTGAGCAGATATGAGACTGTCGGGCTGCCCATGTCTCCTGATACTGTAGATGTAAAGGTGCAACTTCCACTGGAATCTAGTTTATCTTGTAGGTAACTCTTTTTCAATGAGCAGGATCATGTCTTCCCTTGGAGTGTTTTGGTCATGAGATAACTCTTTGAACTGCAGGGCATTGCTACATAGTGAAAATGAGTAATATTCTGCCCACTTTCAGTAGCACGTGGGAAAGGGGGTTATCTCATAATCTGGTACGTGAGTTTGAGTCATACCTTGTTAACTTCATCATACTGCTATTTTAATCTGGTCTCTTCAGTGAGTAGACAGGTTGTGCACAGGGTTTATCATTGCCAAAGCCATTAAGAACTCTGTTAAGGGAAATTATGGTAGTAGAAAACCACTGAATAAGTGCGTTGCAGTGTTTTGGGGTTTTTTTTTTGAGGGTTTTGTTTGTCTAGGGCAATAGCCCCCCAAAAAAAAGGAAAAAAGAAAAAAAAAAAAGTTCTACTACCTAAAATGATACTTGTAGGTCAGTGTTGGTATCACGTTTGGAAGACTGACACTGGTTATTTGCTATCTTTATTAGTGGTAGTGTTCTGCTTTAAATAATCTGTTGTATAAGATTTGCTTGCCAGGAATTTGCATGGCATCACTGTTTAGCAATGTAATCTGGCAATTTTGTGTGCACTTTGTCCAGCAAAATATTCCAAAGTTGATTTGTGTACCCCCATTAGGGGGATAACCTAACACTGCATCTCCACCTGATGCTCCTGTGTGTATGTAACCAGTTTGATTAAACTCATCACCTGTTTCAGAGACAAGGAAAGTCTGAAGTGAGACCTCACCAAAAAGTCACTTTGCTTCCAACTGCCTAAACAGGAAGGCAGGTTCCTTTAGGTAAGGTTGTTCAGCTGCTGAGATAAATAGCTGTCCTACCTGGTAACAGGTTAGGAAAGTCAAGTGCTAGAGCTTTAGTTCTTGGGACAAAATTTTGCAAGCTGACGACCTTATTGTGTATGCAATGTAAATGATTCTCAGAAATTAAGAAAACGCCACCACTACCAAGAAAAACTTACTAGTTGACAACTGTGATGATTCCAGTTTATCTTTGATTACTACATAGTCTCTAGGTTTTAGTTTGACTCTCAAGCTTTAGTCTGTAATAAGAACAAACACTTCTGCCAGGGAAAGTAGGGGAAAATAAACTCTAAAAAGAGATAGTGGTGTCTCTAACTGCGAAAAGACTCATCCACATGCTAATGTTCTGCAGATTTTGCAACAGAGATTTAGTGTATTGCTTTACACACTTTGGTAACTGCCGGCCAACCCTGGCTGTATTTGTTAAACTGGTGGTGCTCGTACTTCTTTCCCACAGTTAGGACAGAGTTTCAGCTCTTTGGAAGAAAATCCTCAAGAACTGAACTTTAAAGCAAAGTGAGTTTGGCATCTGCAGTAAGTGTTTAAGAGTGCAAAAATCCTCCACCACTTGGATTTTATTTAAGCAGTTAAAACCATACTTACCCATTTCTGAGGAAGACTGAAATAGATTATTTTTCAAACAAAATAAAAGTTCAGTAAAGCAGATGTTACTATTTATCTTTACTGTTTAACATTGTAAATTATACTAGGAATGTTGTGTGCTGCCACTTAAAAAGTAAATCATTTGTTTATTTTGAGTGTTATTCCCAGGCAGGGGAAACTCAACCTCTGTACCTTAAATATTCTTTGAAACTTAATCGGCTTCAAATTCCTAATGAGTCCTAGTTTCTTCTTCCCCTGAGAACTGTGTTCTTTGTACACAGAAATATTCAGATCGCCAGTTGCCTTTTCCCGCAGTTTTCTTATAAATCTTTCTAATCTTGTAGCCAGGAAAGTTGGACTTTTACTCATTTTATCATTTGCTGACTGCTTTTTTATAAGGCAAACTCCACTTTCAGAGGTCAGTCAAAGTACCAAAAATGTTTAATTTTATGCCTTGTACAAAGAAGGGAAGTGATTGAACCAGAATGGAATGTCAAAAGGAGTCCGGATGCAATGGAAAAAAGCATTGCCACCACTGGTTCTTCTGAAGTAAGATAGTTAATGCATATAACTGTTCGTGTGACTACAGAGTCTTGCCAGTAAGATCATTGTGTCTGAATATTTTTGTTCCAGAAGAATGTAGCTGAAAATAAGCCAGATGATTTATTTGCTCCAAGGCACGATGGCTTTGTACATTATCTGTGTATTTTATGAATTATTCCTAAAATGGAATTCAAGTAGAGTATTTTTTAATAAATCAAAGTCAAGTATACGTTTTAAACCACTTTGTGTGACAGACTGCGTTAAAGAAACAAAACACTTTGAATAGCTTTTAAATACTTTCTACAGTAATTTGGAAAACACTTGCTTCTCTACTGTGTTGTAGTTATGCTTTGTTGTAAGCTTTCATCCGACAGAACATTCCTGTTCCTGCTGCTTTGCTCTCCAGGTTGTCCTTCTGGATGGTCGCACTCCTCTGTTCTTCCACATTTGGCTGCACCCAAATACCCAGTTTGTGTGACCTGTTTTGTTTTGCTTGTAGTAACTCAGGGATATGTCTGTTTTCGGTCATAATTCTCATTAGCATTGGTATGAGAGAGGGAGATAAATGGGGGATGGAAACGCCCAGGGGACAGAGGTCCGGGACATGGAGCCCAGCTCTGGCTGGCAGAGGTGGGCACCCCTTCCCCAGCATGGTGCTGGTGTTGCTCTCAGCCCAGCGAGTACCGGGAGGGACTGGCAGCCCTTCACTTCCCTGCCTTCCCTCGGGCTTTCCGAGTGAGTATTACATGACCCATTTCAGTGAAATATTCCGAAGAGCAGGTTTGTGCCAGCGCTAGCAGTTCCTGTCAAACAATGCAAGTGACAGGGCTGCAGCTTTGTGCGTGCATTCTGCACTCACTGTTGGATTCTAAAAATGGCACTGTGTTGCCACTGTATTATGTGGCAAAATGCTTTTCATGCTTATTGCTGATTATTGCCCTGCTTGGAAGATAAACTGCTGGATTAAACTTCTCTGATTTTTATGATAATGTCTTAAAATGATTCAGACCTTTTGTCTTGGGATTTTTATCATAAATTCGGCTAGGTCTGTGTGCAAGTGGATTTTACTGTTGACTTTGTCCTTGTGTTATATGCTACTCCCATTGTTGTATTGTTTCATGTGCTCCGTATTGCTAAGTAACTTAACAAGCTTTTCATTCTTCAAATGACCATAACTTGAGTGTAGAAGTAAAAATGACATGGGATCAGTCTGATCTCCTCTTAATTCATAGAAACCAGTGCTTACTTACTATTTACTTCAAGTAAATGGTAAATAAATATCATGTGTTACTTATGATCTGAAGCATTATTTTAATAATTAAAAAAATATATGAGTTTAACTTAGTTCCTTACCCCAAACGCTGAACAAAAAGGAAGAAGGGAAACTTCTGTGAAATCTTCTATTTGCTTGAAACTGGTTTGTTTCCTCTCCTGCAGGTGCTTGGACGATGTTTCTTGACAGTGATGCAGGTCCACTTTCAGTTCCTGTCACAAGCTTTGCAGAAGGTCCAGCCAGTGGCACACTCTTGCTTTGCTGAAGCTGTAGCTCAGGAGAGAAAGAACATTAGTGGGGCTGGAGCCTCAAATTTAAGCCCCACAACTGAGCTAGAAGATGCAATACGATCATGGAGAGGAGCAGCAGAGGTATGGAGATCTTGCTGTAGTGATATTAATATTTAGTGAAATGGCAGTTATATTTAGTGAAACCTAAATTCAGGCTGGATGCCCTAATAAAGGAAGAAAATCTCTGATTTTAAAGACATACTACATTTGAAGGGTGGAACATGGTGCAGTTAGTTTCAGATGCTAAAACTTGTTTTGCCTAAATGGTGATTAAACTGTTTTTTCCCTGTGTGAAGTTTTCTTTGTGATATGGTTGTGCATAAGGAGTGCACAGACACTGGAAACAGCTTTCTGTTATTAGCAATGAATTAACAGAGCTCAAATGTGGTTTGGCAGACAGAGGGAATTTTTTAAGGCAAAAACATACAACGAGTCTTTGCAAAAACAGAGCAAAATCTTGGTGAAAAATAATTTAGATAATGTCTTTCTCCTAAATTTTGAGCATGAATCCTATTTTATACTTAAAAATCTTTACTGTAACTTTTAACACTTTTGTATTCATGCTGTTAAGCTTGATGTTGTTTGATCCATCAGTTGGTGGAATGTTAATCATATTACTTACACGTACCACTCTCTGGACTTGTATTTTTGCAAACACTTGCCATCTGTGGAATCCTTACTTTTCAAGCTGGAAAAAGTATTTTACAAAGAAAATTGGTTTTGTGAGCTTTTCTGCTTTCTCTTGTACTTATTCAAGTCTGCAGACTGATAAATCAAAATGGATTCAGACACTGATTGTGTGGTTTCCTTAAATTCAAGTAACATGGAGCACGTGCTTTTGAAATCTAATTTGGCAGCCTACACAGGCTTGTTAATCATCTTGACTGGAAATCTTGTCAAGGTTTCCATTTGTCAACTAACATCTGCAAGGTATATGAAAGCAAACAAGTTTCCTTTAGAACTATGAATGCAGAGCAATTATTTGTAATTTTTACTGCAGCATAAATTTATTTCACTGGATAAAGTAAGGATTTGGGAGTGCTATCGGTGTATTACAGATAACTATAACAGGTCTGATCCTGGTATAGCTTTACTCCTTTTGCATAAAAATAATTAAATTTATATTGTTTAATATACTTAGTTCCTTGGAACTGTGTTACAATTTCTAGAAATGCCCTGCAATTGCTGTCAAGTTTGTTTAAAATATGGTTAAAATTAAATTTGGGTTTGGAGAATCTGGGACCTTAACTTTGTTTTTTACCTCCTTACCAGCCCACCTCAGCCATTTCTGTTAATAGAACCCGTATTTCGAAATATACACTAATAAAATCTTTTATTATGGGGAGGAGAAGATAAAAATACAGATTCTCTCTAGTTCCAGAATAACAATAGAAGAAACTTCTCATTTTTTATGATTGACTAAAATAACTACTCTGAAGTGTTTGTGTGGGGGTTTTAGGCTAGCATAAGAAGGATCTGTGCTCTGTAAATAAATAAAATCTCTCTCTCTCCATTGTAGAAAGACTAATATGCAAGTTATTTTGATAGAAGGGAGATTTGAAATACTGAAATCTTTCCAAATTTTTCCTTTGTGGAGTGGAAGGCAATCTATTATTTCCATATAAAATCAGCCTCTTTGGCAGGAGAATACACTGCTGTTACGGGATAAACTTTAAGATTATACTTTGTCGGTAGCTCAAAACTATTTTTTCCTTTTTACGATTTTCACTTGGAAAATGCTCTAATTTTGTATGTGTCGATGTGGTGAGCGATGTCCATTGGCTGTACTACCAAAAAGCTCCATTTTGGACCTCCTACTTTAGAGCAAGACTCCTTTGTAGACTGAAAAATAAGCTGTATCTGAAGCCTTAAATGCAGTTGAGAGTAGGTTTTTATTTATTTCTCCCTACTCAATAGTGTAATATTTTACAGTTAAAACTAGATATTTGGCTTTTAATATTTCTTATTTTTCAAAATCATATTATATAAAGCTATTCTCTTGCTGTGTTAAGTTGATCTTGGTCTTGTGTGGTTCTTCTGAAATTGCACCACAGTAATCACCCTTAATTTTATAAAATATACCTTTTTATGTACATAGGAGTGTTTGTACACATGATTAAATGTATCTCCTGTTTCTGTGGCAAGTAATACCCTTTAATGTTGAAGTTACAAGTCCTTCCTGGTAACCACAGTCATCATGTGGCCTGTGTAACAGGATCCTTAGTCTGAGAGGGAGCTGAAATAGTAACAGCAAACAATGTTGAATGAAGTTGCTAGCCAACACCTATATGCCATACAAATTACGTGAGATTTGTACTTTCAAAGTAGCAGTAGAGGTTTAAGAAGTTATAATAAATAATCTCCTCCAGATTCTTTCCACCAGGTGCTTCTTCTCATCTCCTTTATAATGTTTTAAACTCTGTGGGGTTTTTTTTTCCTCTTTTTAAAAATTTAATTAAGCTTGACCTGGTTTAATGTTGAACTTATTTACCTTGGATTTTTATTTTACATTACAGGCCACATCTCGACTGCGAGAAAGAGGCTGTGATGGATGTTTGGCAGGAATTGAGGTTCAGCAACTTTTCTGCTCACAGAGTGTGGCAATCCCTGAACATCAGCTCAAAGAGCTAAACATGAAAATTGACAGTGCTTTGCAGGTGAGTTTTTAAAGCCTCCTGCTTTCATGTGCATGTAGTAGAGCCAGTGGGCTGAGGAATGAAATAGGGAAGGAGTATATTACTGCAGAAATATGTACCACAGGCAGCCATGAGATATTTGAGAATTACAGTATTGGAATCTTCTGTGATAAATGTGTGTATGCCGTAGAGCTGAGTGGGGTAAATACATGTAACAGTTCTTATATATGTTTCCAGACACAGTGACTGCATGCTTACTTACTTGCTGATATCCCTGTTCTATCTTAACTTTTTGTTTAATGTCAGGCTTACAAAGTGGCTTTGGAGAGTTTAGGCCACTGTGAATATGCAATGAAGGCTGGCTTCCACTTGAACCCAAAAGCTATTGAAGCAAGTCTTCAGGTAGGATCTGCTAAACCTGTTCTCCCTTTCATCTTTCCTTACCTTGACAATAACTATTTAAAAAAAAAAGAAGACTCATATTAGGATTTTCCAGTCTTCATTTCTTCTAATTGATCTTCTGTTTTATATTTCAGGGCTGTTGCAGTGAAGCTGAAGCCCAGCAAACAGGAAGGAGACAGACTCCACCTCAGCCAATTCAGTGTGAACTGCCCACTGTACCTGTTCAGATAGGATCACATTTTCTGAAAGGAATATCCTTTAATGAGTCTGCAGCAGAAAACCTGAAGCTGAAAACGGTAATAATGCTGAATCTAACAAGAGTGAAGGGGAGGAAAAAAAATAAACAAAAGACCAACCAACCAAAAAAACCCACAAAACCCAAAAACCATAGAACTCCTTAAATTCAGAGAACAGCTGCTGTAGAAATTCAGTGCCAGGCTTGTATTTAAAAGTGTGTATTTTTAGCCTGGCTTCCTGTGGAAACAAGATGTTGATAACATTGTAGGTCCACGCCTGCTTCTGATAATGTTTTAACCACCTGAGCAAACTTAGTCCAATCTGAAAGAAGCATAGAAATGAAGAAGGTAGTGAAGCTTGTGGAGGGTTAGGTGGGTTGGGTATCAAGAAGTGCAGAGGAAAGTGAGCCCTTACAGATGCCCCAACCAGGTGATGCACTTCAAAACTTTTATCTTAGGTGCCAAAATAAGTCTGGCCCAGCCTAGTGCTAAGGGAGGTACTTGAAAAAATGTTTTGTAACGATGCTCCTTTAAATGTCTTCTTACAAACTTTAACCAATTAAAAAAAATTAAAATGGTGGAGAAGTTAATTCTGTTTTCCATAAAAAGGAATGGAAAATATGTCCATTCAGTAAGTAGTGTAGGCAATTTTAATCAGTATTTTCCCTTTATTTTTTAGATAAGCCCAATTCCTTGCTTATGAAAGAGTTGAAACAATCCACAGCTCAACATGCTGCTTTTCTGTTGTCTTTGCAGTGCTTTTTGTAGTTTGGATTAAATCTGTTTTGCAAGAATATAGGCAAAAATACTGTTTATGATTTTGGAGAGCAGTATTGTGTTCCAAATAGCAGAGACGATCTTCCATATTTCTGATCTGCAGTTGAGCTCTTCTAGTTATACAAGACTATTCAGAGGTAACAAGACACTATAGTTGTTTTAAAAACATGTAGAACAACGATAAACACATATGGAAGCATTGGTGTTAACATTTCTGAACCACGTGTTTAGTATGACAAAGCTTTTATGATTTTATTCTTTTTTCCAGCACACAATGCTGCAGTTGATTAAGGAAGCTGGATGCCATAATGGACTTACACCACGGGATGACTCTCCTGTTACTGAAGTACTAAATCAAGTTTGCCCTTCCACTTGGCGAGGAGCCTGCAAAACTGCTGTACAATTGTTATTTGGCCAAGCTGGGCTGGTAAGTGACTATGAATAGGCTTAGCAAAAAAAAAAAAAGGAGCTACTTAAAAATCCTGAGGAGAAACTAGATATTTTAGAGAGGTTGGAAATTAATTTCCAGTGTCTTACTTAGTGTTTCTCCATTTTTAATGCTGCAGCTAACTTGATTTATGAGCAAAATGTATCCTTGCAGAATGCAAGTTCATACATAGATGGTATCTAGTCGGTAGGAACAGGAGAATGTACTGTGTACTTCGTAGTCTCTGTTACTAGAGAGAACACAATAAATGAAACTTCTAACTCATAGTGAAATAGAAAGATTTTCAAATCCTTAGATGACTGTTAGAAAGAAACACCTCTTCCTCACCCTTCTCTCAGATTAGTTTTAAAAACTGCCATTTTCTTCATTTCCTCTCTACTTTGAATGGAAGCTGGGTTTCCTGCCCAGCATAAACCAGGAAGTCCTCTGCAGCAAGTAACACTACCTGCGATCTCCAACAGAGGACAGAACAATTAAATACCTTGCTGTAGACACGTGTGTTCTTTAGAAGCAAACCCCATGGATTTTTCAGTATCTGAAGTTGCTAAAAATAGATGCTTGGAACATACATTCTCTTTCTTCATTTAATAAAGTGTTCATTCACGACACGTAGGGTTTTTGGACTACTGTGAGTTTTCATTTGACTGGACAAATAAAATGGGGGCAAGAATGCAATAGGATAGGAAGGAAATGCAAGGATAAAGGTACACCATAGCCTGTGATAGTTTCTAGTTTCTATCAAGTGTTCCCTGAACCATCTTTAACCTACAATGGGTTAAATGCTTCTTGTTGATTCATACACTGATTCTTTGTTCAAGGTGATGGCAGGCAGGACTTTGTAACTAATTGTAATTTTTAATGAAAGGATCCATATTGCTACATACCTTGTGAATGTCACATTTTTCAAATCACACAGTGGATTAAGTGACTTTGACCTTCCATTCTAGTTCATTAAACCATATGTTTTTGGTACCATTAATAGGTTCTCCAATAAGGGTGAATGATAAATTGTAAATGATAAATTTGTTGGATACTTCTGCTTTATCATTCCTTTGATATTAGATTTCAGATATTAGCTATTCTCTTAATAAGTAGGTTGAAATCATACAGGAATTCAACTGACTTTTCATGTAAAGAATGCCTAAAATCAAAGGGACAGAACATCAGTATCATGACAGCAGTGCACCTGCTATCAATCCTTACTTCACTGTGGTACAGAGATTTCAGGATAGGAGATGTTAGTGCATTAACCACTTTGTATAAGGAAGTTTTACAGGGAGGCATAAGAAGGTGGCATCTTTGCAGGGAGAGAAGGCAATTGTGGAATAGTCAGAGCGATCAAATTTCTAATTAGGTGTTTTCAAGGAAAATACATATTAAATATTAATAAATACAAGAAGAACTAGAAAAAAGGATATAGTTATGTGGAATTGTCTCTTCACCTGTTCATGGTAGGATGCTGTGAGTCAGCAGCAAGGTACAGGAAATGAGGCCAAGAAAGAAACTGTTTCTCAGCAGCCCTATGGGAGTGTGCTGTGTAACTTGGGAGTTGTTCTTGGCTCCTGAGCATCTAGATGAGGAGTGTCTTGGAGGATGCTGCACCTCTCACCATTTCCTTCCCAGAGGGTTTTAGGGTTGTGCACACCCAAGTCCTGCCTTGATGAAATTTGGGGAGTGGCCCGAGGCACATTTGGACTCAGGTGTCTGGAAATCTCCTGGTGTCCCCAGTCTAGACATAACTAGTTAGACCTGCTGATAATTAAAGTGCTAATAGTCTTCAGGTTTATCATAATATTTGGAGAGTTGTCAGCATAAAACTTACTTACACATTCTCCTAAATGACAGTGCTGATATAAGGAGTATTACTCGTGTTGCATCATGAATGTCTCCAAAGATTTTTGCGTGAACCTCAGGTTCTGAAAGTAGCAGGTTTCTATCTTCAAAGACACAGTAATGAGCTATACACACGAAAAACTACTTGTGAGCCTTCTCTCCTTCGTTCCTTCTCACTTTGATTTGTTACAGTTTGGAAGGGTGTGAGGGTTGAGGTTTTTCTTTATAAACTATGTGCCGTAATTTTTTTACAAGATTCAATTATGCTTGTATGTAGAGTCATGCAATGATGAGAAATTGTAATTTGCCTCTTGAAAGCATTCTTTGGGTGGAGATGAGAGAGGAAACACCTGTAAAACAAGAACAATAGATGTCTGATGCACAGGAAACTATCCTCTAAGCACCCACCAGGCGGGGAGGGAGAATGTGTTTATTTTAAGTTTATTTTGTGTAGAACTCGGATAAATGAATCATGGGACAATATTACGTAGTCTTTGGTTTACTGCTTTTAGAAACTAAGCTGTCTGCATTAGTTCAGAATTGTGTGGAAATTTGTTATTTAAATGGCAAATGTAAAAAAGAACATTACCTGACAGTCTCACTATCTTTAGCCTGTCTTGCCATGTACCTTTTAAGAAGAAACGCAGCAAAAGTGGGAAGCACAATGAGATGTGACTTAGTTTGCTTGGTTATTTTAGGCTTCAGTTTTAAAACATTAGAAATAACTGGAAAACTGCTTTCATAAATTTTTACCTTGGCATATATATTAAGAAATGTATTTTCGGATTTGGATCAGCTGAAGAAATTTCCATGTTTGAATAAAAGTAATGTGTATTAAAATAGTCGAATTCAGAGGATGAGTGGAAATAAACCTTTGAATTGGCCTCATGCAAAGTCGTGAAGAGAAAGTTTTGAGTCTCCAGCCGTCCTTTTTTGTGCCAATAGATCTTTCTGTAGCAAAAATGTGCCTTGCAGAAGCACATAAATCTCCTAGTAATGTTTAAATCCCAGATGTCATAACTCTGACCAAATGTTGAGAAATGTAGAACTTTTTTTAAAGGGAAAAAAGGAAGATACTGGGGCAGGGGGAACACTGCCAACAAAGCCCAGACCATGAGCGCTACCAGGCACCACTACCAGAAGCTGATCTAGGTCTGCACAAATCAGAGTTTTAGTTCTGGCTTACAGGTCTCAGATGCAGACAGTATTTTTCTTGGGAGTTGAGAAAAATCACTCCCAAGTTCATCTCTCCTTATCCCAATTATAATTGCAATATAGCTGAATCCCAGATTACCAAATTACATAAAATGATACAAATGCAAGGAAAAAAGTAATGGAGTTGCCCTGTTATTAAATGAGAGGTATTTTAATGTGTGGGTAATGGCATGGCATTTTGTCACTGTGCTTGGACATGTTCTACAAGTTTGAATAAACTCGGGCAAACACTTAGAGTCAACTGGAGGAAAACTAAAGCCTCATGCTAAAATATCTAAAAGGTGGGAAATAATTATGTTCAAGTGTCACTGGATGGTTTTGGTAAAGCAGGAGAGAGAAGAGACTCTCAGCATTACTCGTATTTCACATTTCTCCATAACCAGTAGTAGACAACCAGGTAGAAGTAGAATCAGTGTAGGATGGTGGCAAAAAAAGCCAGTAATATCCCCTGAAGGCTCATTTATACTGGATGACTTTTGCCATTTCAAGGATAAATGGTACAGCTAATCTGCTAGTCACTGAAGCAAGAACTGCTGACTGCTGCCAAAAAGCTGCTGGTTCAGCATGACCAAAATAGGAAATTATGGAAATGATCAAAAAGGCCAACCCATGCAGACTGGACAACAACAGAAAGCACAAACCAAATATGGAACTTACTATCACTGGTATTAAAGTTTAAATGAAGCTGAAGTGAATCCATTCCTTCTCAATTCCATAAAAAGAAAGGTTCATGACAGAATGTTAATTTTCAAGACTTTCATCTTCCATATATTTTCCTGATGTCTTACAGAAGGCTCAGAATTTAACAAATTGAACAGTCACTTTTCTTCTCTTTATATAACAGGGAACTAAAACTATCAGAGTTCCCTTAGGTTGAACGTTGGTGTGGGATTTTATAACTTAAAGGGGGGGG